CAGGGACATAGAAAGGGAATGGACTGACTATTCTTGGGGGGGAAAGGGGAGTGGGAGATGCGGGAAGAGACAGGACAAAAATCGTGCACCTATGGATGAGGACAGGGGGTGGGGAGTGAGGACGGAGGGTGGGGTGGGAACTGGGTGGAGGGGAGTTATGGTGGGAAAAAAGAGGAACCAATGTAATAATCTGAACAATAAAGATTTAATTTAAAAACAAAAAACAAAAACCTTGATCAGAGAACTAGAAGGAAGGTATGTGCACAATGGCTTGGAAGTAGACATTGAGGAAATGTTTAAACCGGGTAGGGAAAGGAGGTAGATAAAGGAATTCTAGGGTAGTAAGTGAAATCCTTTAAAGGATAAAGAAACCGAACCCCCGACAAAGCATAGCGCGTGCACCAGATGCAGCTGGAGATCACCAAGGAGATAAACGCCCAGTTCCGGGCCCTTTCCCTTGCACCCCGCACACTAGCCATACTTTTTAGTTGCTCACAAAGGAGTAACAGCAGAGGATTTAAAAGTGGCAAAATGAAATTTGGGGATTTAATCATCCTAACCCCATCTCCCATTAACGTAAAAAAATCAAGGACTGGACAACATGGTGAAGTTAGCCAAGCACCATGTAGTTCAAACAACTTTCTGGTTGACGGGTCTATAACCAGAATGCACCTAAACGTGTTGGTTAAATGTACTTCACCAGAGATATGCATGTCCCAGGCCAACCAATGCGACGCAGGTAAACAGAACAAACTATTCAACTGTGTTACACCCACATACACGTATTTTTTTAGAAATGTTAATAGAGGGTCTGTAGCAAATCTTTAAAAAGGTCCAAAACCACGAATCCACAGCCCTTACTCGGCACTTTCCAAGGAAGTGAGACCCTGACTGCAGATTTAAGTATTAAAGTCGAGAGAGAGACATTCTTTAGGGCAGGGCTGGCGGTTAGGCTTTCGCACATCTCAAGACTATCCAGTTCCAGGTGGCACCAAGCCGCCTTCCCATGACTAATCTGTACCATCCTCCCAGCCCCCATCCATGCTGACCCCACAACCCTGACTTTGGCACAGTCTAATGTGTAATGCTCCCTCCCCTATTATAATAAACTGGCACTCTGAATCCCACATCAGTGTTGGTTACTTAGCATGAAAAAACCCCAAGAATCTGCTCAGTTCTAACAGCACTGTAGAAAAAAGTTTACTCGAAAACAGTAATTGAAAAGGTGATTCCGGCCACAGATGGATTTTATTTGGCTTGGAGGGGAAGAGGAAGAGAAAGAGGAGGGGGAGGGAAGGGAAAAAGAGGAGGGGAGACGAGGGAGGGGGCACAGGTCTAGAAAGTCCAGATATTTCATATAAAAATACACATTCCCAGCTTCTCTTGAAAACGCTGAAGATCTGTCAATAGGGGGCCTATATTGGCACAAAGCAAAGCGGGGCAGAGTGAAAAAGCCACAGCCCCACTGAATACGGGACATTTGTTTTCTGATTCATCACAGACCAACCACTTCTTTCTAGTCCCCGGTACTGAGGCCAAAAGCCAACCGTCATTTCCCATGCTGCTTGCAGTGTTGTCTGCCTTACAAACTTCAGACTAAAGAAAGCCATACCTGATGGACCAGTGCAATCCACTCTTCACATTAACACCGTAAAACAAAGCAAGGATCCGGGAAATCACTTTACCTTAATCTGAGTCTGTTCGATCGACTTTTCCCATATCTGCTGGTCGTAGGCTCCAATCTGAAACAGGGAGAGGCTATTTAAATGACGCAAACCTCACAAAGTCATAAACTACCAAATATCAATAAGACATGTGGGAAATGCCTGTGCTGCTCAGAGTCTGACTAAATTAAGTATGTGTGATATCTGGAAAACGTTTCCATGTCTTAAGGAAAACTAGAGAGGAATAAAAGGCAAGGGACAGACAGCTCAATAAGATAGCTGGCAGGACACAGACACCAGGGGGGTGAGGGCATGAGTGGTGGGGGGGCGCAATGGGGGAAAAAGGACACATATTTAATACCTTAATCAATAAAGAAAAATAATAAAAAAAAATAGTTGGCAGTAACCACCCTTGCCGGTTTGGGTCAGTGATTAGAGCATGGGCTTGCGGACTGAAGGGTCTCGGGTTCATTTCCAATCAAGGGCACCTATCTCAGTTGCAGGAGGCACATGCCGAGGCAACCAGTTTATTTCTGGATCTCTCTCTCTCTCTCTCTCTCTCTCACTCACTCTCTCTCTCTCTCTCTTTCATGCGTGTTTCTTTCTCTCTGTCTCCCCCCCTCCCTTCCATTCTCTCTCTTAAAAAAAAAATTGATGGAGCCTGGCTGGTGTGGCTCAGTGGTTGAGTCAACCTTGAACCAGGCGGTCACAGTTGGACCCCGGCTTGGGGCACATGCCTGGGTTGCGGGCTTGATCCCCAGTAGGGGGCGTGCAGGAGGCAGCCGATCAGTGATTCTCATCATTGATGCTTCAATCTCTCTCTCTCTCTCCCTTCCTCTCCCTGAAATCAATAAACACATTCTTTTTAATCAATGGGAAAAAATATCCTCAGGTGAGGATTCATTTTTAAAAATATTGTTGATGGCGCGCAGATAGAAGTTTCGGGTCTAACAAGAAGCGGTTTGATCAGAAGCTACGTTTCCAAGTGGTTCTGGGGCGCGACGGTGTCGCCGAAGAAGGAGGCGACCGGGGATCGTACTGGGGACCTGGAGCGGGTACCGTGTCCCTCCGTCTCCCCAGGCCCGTCGGGGCGCGTGCAGGAAGCCGGGGGACTAACGGGAGCTCCTCGGGGCGCCCCGCAGGAAGGGCGCTTGGCCAGCAGGACGCGCCGACGTTACCTTCTTCTGGTACCACGATATGGCATCTCGCTCGCCGGAGGCCATCTGTCTCCCGGCCGGAGGGGGGGGTCTCACTGGAAACGAAGGAAACCCGGGGTGAGCCCGGCGGCGGAGAGGCGCTCATCCCGGCGGGGCGGAACTCAGACTCCGCGTCCGCCACTCCGCGCGAGCTGCCGTCGGCTTCCCTGACTGTTTGCCAGGAAATGTTTTTAAAAAGCAAACCAGAAAGCGTCCGGGCGACGTTTTCCGCGAGTGTGTCCGCGGCTGCGGGGAGGGGAGCGGAGGGGAGCGGAGGGGAG